AGTAAAACGTTCCGATGCTTGGATCCAAAATCTGCATCAGTTCCATTGGGACTTCGTCTTCTCCTGACTGATAGTGTCTCCAGCACTGCGGACTCTTAGCTACCATTACCAACTGGGAATCCTGAGTGATTCAATCCTCATGGAGTGGTGAGAGCCAGCTCTCTCTTTCTCTCTCTCTAGCAATCGCCTTCTGAACCTGAAGTAAAACGTTCCGATGCTTGGATCCAAAATCTGCATCAGTTCCATTGGGACTTCGTCTTCTCCTGACTGATAGTGTCTCCAGCACTGCGGACTCTTAGCTACCATTACCAACTGGGAATCCTGAGTGATTCAATCCTCATGGAGTGGTGAGAGCCAGCTCTCTCTTTCTCTCTCTCTAGCAATCGCCTTCTGAACCTGACTTGTGTGACCGGTCTCAGTTTGGTAAACTTGACTTTTGTAATCAAATTTAGGTTAGATGTAAATATTGTAACTTTTGTTTATTTGGCTCCCCTTGTAGTGTTATAAATAAATAATTGGAAATAAATAACTTTCAGAGTTAAGCTGGTTGCTTTTGTTCTTCTCTCTCCCTGTTTTGTGAGTGCTTTTGGCTCCTCCATTCACTTTGCATCACCAGTCCTCATACCTAAGCAGAAGATCTCTGCTGCACCCAAAAATCCTGTGGGGCAGAGGTTCCCAAACTTTTTGACACAGGGACCAGTAAATCCATTCACGAACTTTTGGAGGACTGGTAACATTCATGTGTATATTTGCATATTCATTAATCAAATGATGAATATTCAAACAAGTTGTTTCTGGTCCTCCCAAAGCCTCCAGTGCCAGCTTTAGCAAAGCTTTTGATTTGGTCACCCACAATATTCTTGCCAACAAATTAAGGAATATGGATTGGATGAATGGAGTGTAAGACAGACAGAAAGCTGGTTAGAGCAGGGTTTCCCAAACTTTCTACTTTAGTTGGAACCCTTTTTTTTTTCAGTACTGTTTTTTGCAGCCCAAAAATATAAACACATACAAACAAACTTCTCATTAGGTAAGTTTTATTATTACTAGTTATATCAGTTTGTAGTTTCGAACTGCCTGGCTGGTAAATGTGCTCAGGCTGCATAAGTGTGTCTATCAGCCAGGCAGTTCGCAACTACTCGAGGGGGGGGGGGGGGGGGGGGGGTACAATAGAATCCCCGGGCCAGCCCCACTTCCTCCAACCCCCTCCCAGACAGCCAGTTCTCCCGCTTCTCCTCTCAATCTCCCTTGGCCAACCCTGCTGTCCGCATCCAGCCCTGCTTCCGGTGGCCGCTTCTCCTCCCTCCACCCCCACATCTTCCCCGGCAAACTCCCTGCCTCCAACCTCATGCCCCCTGGCAGCCCTGCTTCCCCATCGGCTCCCCAATCTCTCCTGGCTAGCCCCGATGCTCCAGACAAGCCCTGCTTCCAGCAACCGCTTCTCCCCTACTCCTCCTCCCAATCTTCCCTGCCAGCCTCCTCCCCTCCCCCAGCCAGCTCTGCTTCCACCGGCTGGCCCCCAATCTCCCCGGCCTGCCCCGAT